CAGGCAATCACACACAATTTCACACTGATTTCGCAACGTAAAAGTACAGTGCCATGGGACCATTCTTTTTAATTTCAGTTGATAAGACACAGAACTCCACAATCATATGCCTTGCTTGCAAAATGTATCAATGCATTTGCAGGCAAGTTTCAGACTGTCCTCTGCATGCTCTGACCTAGCCCCACATTCTATTCCTCTGAACTCCTCAAGCAGAATCTGCATTCAAGGCACTCAAGTCCAGGTTTGTCCCTGCACCGATTCTCACTCTGTGATGGTGGAGGGCGATGAGACATTTATGTCATATGAACTGCATAGTCCGTCTCTTCCTACACTTTCCGGTGTCTGTGATTACCTGCTGTGTTCTACCTGCATCTTATCACTCCCCTTAGTCTTGTCCCCATGTCAGCATTCAATCAATCTTTCTCCGTATAGCGCCAATTTATAACAAATGTTATTTCAATACACTTGCAAGAGCCGGTAAAAGACCTTACTAATTGTTATATTATGTTACAAAGAGCAGGTAAAGGACCTTACTAACTGTTATATTATCTAGACCCCACGACCCAACATTAATCCATCATGAGCACAGCACTAAGCAACATTTAGCAGAGTTACAGTGGCAAAGAAAAACTTCCTTTTAAGAGGCAGATCCCTTGAGCAAATGATGGACAGCCATCTGCCAAAGTGTGCTGGGTGTGAAAAAATGGGATAGAGGGAGATGCAGGAAGAAAGGTCGGTACAAAAAGAGCAGCATCAACAACAACAATGAATATGATAGATCTATGGCTACAGTGTAAGTAATACTCAGACATGGGAGTAAGTCACACATGTACAAGTCACAAGCATGTCTCAACCTTCAAGTCTCTAGCAAGTCACAAGTCCCTGCGGTGAGAATCAAGCAAGTCAAGTCATTGCTCAGATCAAGCAAGTCACAAGTCAAGTCATACGATGTGGTACACCTGGCACCCTTCTGTTTCTCGTACTACAATTTCAGAGATTATGATAATACGAACAATTTATTCAGCATTTTTCTCATTACAACTAATGTTGTCAGGTGGTGTGACCAGGTAAAATGGTAATTCAAAGCAGTAAAAAAAAGGTTAAAGGGGTCATATTATGCCCTTTTATTGTGTGTGTGTGTGTGTGTGTGTGTGTGTGTGTGTGTGTGTGTGTGTGTGTGTGTGTGTGTGGCCCTTTTTGAAATCAAACCCTACACCCTCCCCCTCCGTGACGGAGTGCACTCCATTAGAAGTGACACTCTCAGCTGAGTGAAGTCTCCTTCATCAAGGTGTAGGGTAGAAATACAGCAGCAGGCTTTGGGAAAAACTTCCCTCTCTCAGGTGGAAACAGGAACTGTGTGTTACCATGGTTACTCAGCGGTATCTTACGGGAACAGCTTTTTTTGTAGCGAATGCATTCTGTAAAAATATTTATGTAGCCTAGATTATTCTTTTTCTTCAGTTATATTAGTGTAGACTGATAACAAAACTATTAGATTAACCCAAGTTAATTTATTGTAATTTCATAGAACAGGGTGTCCTAAATTAATGTAAAGACAAGGAGACTATTGTTGAACATCAGAGCAGCAAAAAAGTGAATTTTTTGTTGTTGAATTGAGATTTCACAAAGACATCAAAAGTAGAAAAATAAGAAAAAAATATTAAGAGCGAAAAGTTGTCTGCAACATGATTTAATATGATTTTGTGTTTGCAACAGTCCCTGTAAACATAAAACACTTAACAATAAATACATATATTTGATCCTCTACACATTTGAAGTTGTTAACGTCTGTATGATGATATTAAATGTCTATCTTAGTTGGAGCAGTGTTTGAACTCACAGGTTGTTGTCTCCATGACGACCGGACACAATAGGCGTTGCACGTGATCCGAAAGTCGACATCGGTGCAGACTCGCTGGTGGAGGGTCTTATAACCCACTACCACTCCCTACTAGTTGTTTTGGGACGGACTTAATATGGCGGACCCTCCGCGAGGACGCACAAACGGAGGGGTAGTGGGTAGGGAGAGGGTGTAGTGGCCGGTTTGAAAAAGACCCTGTGTGTGTGAGCGTGTAGATGAGAGAGAGCGAGGACAAGATGGCGGCGTACCCACATGTGGTCACGTCGCCCGTAAGATGGCGGACACTCAACAAAGACGCCTTCTGACGTGGTCTATTGTCTCAACAGGCCGAGTTAAGCTTGGAGTCTGCACGATCTGTGTCTCTGAGGCACTTGAAAGACCACGAGTGTACAGCCCTCAAATGCTGTCTTCTCGGTCCTCGCTCCTCAGCCGAACTGTAAGTGGTTCTAGATCCGCCATGTTAAGGAGCGTCCCAAAGCTCTTATAACTGAAAGGAGGAGAGAGGAGACAGGGGAGAGGAGAGAGAAGGGAGGAGAGAGAAGGGAGGAGAGAGGAGAGAGAAGGGAGGAGAGAGGAGGGAGAAGGGAGGGAGGAGAGAGGAGAGAGGAGGGAGATCCGAGGAGCGATGAGCGAGCATACACGAGAGCTGACTTTGCGGAGGTCTTTTTACTGACATGGACGCCTCCTTATTGAATATCACTCATTGATTAGACGCTGCAGCGGATCAGACTTCAATGAAACTTATCAACATCAGCGGAGTTTAATAACGGAGAAAAGAAGGACATCATCATTTGTCCTTTTGTCAGGACAAATGAACAAATGAACTGGAAATATACTAATCTGCATATTTAAACTTAATTGACTAATCCTCACATTAACAATCTGCTCATTTTGTATGTAAAATACAAAAACTCATTATAACAAGATAACAACTGGAAGGACTGAGGGACCCAGAGGAAAAGAAAAACATCAGAAAGGAACCTGTATGTTGGTGTTACCTGTTGTAAGGGTTTCTCAGCAGAAGAGCCTGGCTGCCTGAACAGCTGTCTGAAGGTGTGTGGCATCCATAGACCGGAGGAGGAATAGAATACTGCTGCTCACCTGTGTATTGTATTTACACACGCACGCACGCAGGGAGGGTCATTTAATGGAACTGTATCATATCCAAGCAAAAATATAAACATTTTGTTTTGTCATAAGCAGACATCCATGCAAAATAATACAATTCAAAATCCACCATACAGACATAGCTGTGCAGTCACACACTCAGCTCTAAATACACTGAGAGATCTACATTTGTTCCTCCTGAAAGAAGGAGTATTAACATGACCAAAATACACAAAATAATTCAGATTGCTTTACTGATTTCTTTAGTAAACACACAAGGCTACATCAGTCAGGATCTGTTATACTTTAGTGAAATATTATGTTGCATTTTTAACCCAGGGAGAAGAGATCATGAAACTCAAGAGTTCACTTTCTGATGTCCATTACTGTTTAATAAATACGTAAAAGCCATTTATGTAATTGTAAATATATAAATTTGAAACTGCTTTAATAAAAAATCAGTTAATACAAAATCCACTAGCTTGAATCAGCAGTCACACTTATTTGCAGAAAAAGCTAACCGGATATAAAGTGTGAGGGCTACTAAAGTTAATGTTAATTTATTGATCTAGCAACTGATGATTGAACAGAATATCTTACATAATATCTTTGTTTACCAGTTTGTTATTTTACATAACCTAACGTTGCATAGACCAAATTCAATCACTAAACACAAACACAAACACACACCCCCACACACAAAAACATACACTTACCCATAGTGCTTTGCTGGGTTAAAGTGTCTTCATGTTTAAAGGAGTGGTTGGAGAACTGGGAGCCCTGGTATGTAGGAATTTGACTGTAATTACCAGCTCCATCGAATGCAACTGCACTGTAACCTGAAGGACAAACAAAAACAAGACAAGTAATATCAAAGAGAACCCTGAACACTCATGTGCATCATGATGTACAATGATACAATTCTGGATTTTTTCATTCACTGATTCTTTGACAGACTCTAATCACAACAATTATAAAAAAAAGTTAAAGATATAATGTATATTTATATAAAGACATGATCTGATTCATTATAAAGTAACTGCTGCTGAATAGTATCGACTTATAAATTATTTTCTTTTTAGATCTCTGTTTGGGCTTTCGCTTTTATTTCGGGTAGCTCTAGAGAGACAGGAAATGTGGGCAGAGTGCAGTTTGATATGAAACAGTATCAGGATTGGGAGTTCATCCTGCGATTAGTGCAACAAGGACTGAAGCCTCTAAACATGGAGCACTAACCCTTCCCTACACACAGAATCAACATACTGTTTTTTTTCTTACTCTTATCATAGAGTATATTTTAATATTAGGTTTGTATTTATATCAAATGTGTTTTCCCCACTAAATTAATCTAGTTTTTGCAACAAACAACTTTAATCTGCTCAATTTATCCAGGAACGCGCACAGACACAAACACCATGAGTAGGCCTACGTCTCTCATTTTGAAAAGTTCCACTCGATATCCCGTTATTTATAGGAGTCCAGCACAGAATCAGCTGTACATTAACATTATTAAAACGAAGCCTTTAGAAGCTTCAGTTTTGATTGGAGCAAGATGCATTAACAAGAGGGGTGTGCGGACAGTGGGCCTTCTCTCTCTCTCTGTCTTTCTCTCAAGCTGATGTGATTCTGCACTCTTGGTTTTAGTCTTATCTGTCCGCAGGAGTCGAGAGGGATCTTCAACAGGAGTTTTGCTCAGGTCCAACCGTTCCTTTATGCACAGGGTATTGTTTAGGGTAAGGTAACCCCCAGGCTAGCAAGAGTTGATCAGTCTCAACTTCACTCCACTACTGAAAACGATAAATGACAATATCCATCTCTGGATGAAACTCCCACAATCCATCATAGACAGAATAGCAACCGTTAAATGATAATTCTTCCAAAAATGAACTACCTATTGAAGGGCCTTTCAGTTAGGGCGTGGTGCGCACTGAGCTTGCCCCGGAGGCCGCAGAGCAGAAGGGGAGTGCACACATGACCAAAAAGCAAGTGCGACCGTTGCTAGGTGACCTGAAGAATGGTTTAGAAAATAGCTACTTTTGTGGACGTGCAGTATTTGTTTCTGAACACTAATAAGTAGAAAACTCTGATCTTTTTACTGATGAAGAGGAAGAGACGAGCAGCACAGAAGGAGGGGGAGTCTGTTCATTAAATTCTCAGGGCATGACAGGATTTGGGAGTTTAGGCTCATACAGGAGCTGCAGCTCTAGAACGACCGCTTCACAAGCACGACACTTTTCTGCTGCTGTTTAAAACACACCTGGTACGCCCAAACTGCTGGGACATTTCTTTTCAAACAAGATATTTCTCTTCGAAGGGCCGGTAGGTCTGTAAACTAGAGCTCAGGAAAGTGGGACACTGTTTGTTGTGATCTGATCTTCCCTCCTATTGGAGGTTCAGTGGTGATGTCAGAGAGGGCTACGCCAAAGTTTTAAAAAATTTAACTTCCGCATATAGCGAAAGAACGGCAGGCAAGCATGTACACACACATATATATATATATATATATATATATATATATATGTATATACAGTATATAATATATAGGCTATACATATGTGTGTGTGTAAAGTGACAGGACTACTCCTGTCACTTTAAATGTTTTTCGTTGAAGTTAAAGTTACTTTAATGGCTTAGTAGGCTTCTACTTGCAACAAGTCACATTTGCATCATTTATGAACTCTTTACTTCTCAAACATAATCCAATATCTCTTGTCATTATTATTATTATAATATTCTTCTTCTATTTGTTTTTGCCTGACCACCTCTTTCCACGTCACTACACCCAATAAGAAATCCTATCATTGGTAATCCTTGGTCTATCAGGAACTATCTATTCACCTTACAGGTAAAGACCAGCTGACAACTTGGCCCTGGACTCGGCAGTGATGACGGTAGATCCACAACTTCCACAATCTTCTTGGTATTAGATCTTCTGAAGTTACAGTCAATGGATGCGCCTGGCTATTTCCACTTCCAGCGTTACCATATGAGTAAGTCAAGAGATGTGTCCATGGACCTTACATAACGGCTGTTATGGGGGTGGCAATTCTGAGTTCCCATTTCCAACAGTAGGTGGCAGCACTGTATAAGGTGCAATTTGGTAATTTAACCAAACAGCAATAAGGACAGTTTAGAGGGCCCTCTGTGATCTGCTGTAATTCTTTCTTTCTGGCCTGGACTGGTAGTGACTGAACAGCATATTCAATTCAATTCAATTCAATTTATTTTGTATAGCGTCAACTCATAACAAGTGTTATCTCAAGACACTTTACAAAAAGCAGGTAAAAGACCTTACTCATTGTTATGTTACAAAGATCCGGCTATCCATCATGAGCACTTTAGCAAAGCAGCAAAAGTTACAGTGGTAAGAAAAAACTGCCTTATTAAAAGCCTTACATATGAAGCATGTAAGTTCCCTAAATTGGTTAATTGTATTGTTATTCATTAATTCTCACTGGGGAGATCCCTGGTTGTCATGGGGGATCACCCAGTGACACCCCCGGACCTAACCGAAGTTATGAACTCTATTGTTAATCTCCGCTGTAATCTCTGGCTACCTTTTATGCCTTCTCCACTCCAACCTGGTACAATGAGGCATTCTTACTCTCTACACAACTCCACCAGTTTCTTCCTCATTTCAGTTTTCAGAGGTTTTATATAACGCTATGTTGTTATTCGCAAAGCATGATAACCTGTGCAGTGGCGTAAGGTAATCCCAACAAGACCCAGTGCCAGCTATTTTGAAGGGCCCTAGTGCACGCTAGTTACAGTGAACTCAAACACACAATTATTCAGGGCTAACGTTAGCTAGCTTCAATCCTCCTAAAGTTACCTGCTGCATGGCTGTTGCGCCACGGGCTGAACAGCTGTATTGCTACTTGGAGCTGTGGTCTGGCAACTGTTTGTGAAACCAAAAGAGTCTTATTTAAGGAGCTTTGAAACCTTTCCTTTCTCTCCTGTCATTTTTGACTTCCGCTTTTGTGTTTGAAAGGCATTTTGAATTGCTCGGTTTATTTTTATGTAAGAGTCACTTTTGACAGACAGACACAAGGGTCTAGCTCCTATACTTGTTTCAGCTTGTTATTACTTTGTACTCGTGTGCGTATCAGAATAACAATTAACAATTATTTCGGATTAAAGTTTAAAAATTACATATGATTAGTTTTTGTAAATAAAGAAAGTTAAGGTAAAATTACATTTTGCTTTGTACTGTTTTTGAGGGGCATAATACATTTTGTTTGTCCAGTGAGTCAGGCTGGGGGGGCGACAGACTGAGATTTTGATGTCCATTTTACCCATGTCCTCCTCTCGTTAACAGTTACAGCTTGTCAGTGGACAAATATGTTTTATTTCCACAAATGGAAAAAAAAAAGCTTTTATTCTAGCTATTGCTCTCACTTTAATTTTACTTAAAACAAATAAGACATATCTAAATGAATGAACAAAGAATGTCAAACTCACTCATTGATCCATAAAAATCCACTCACAAAACAGTAGAGATGACGAGGTAGGCCTAATCAAAGCAACGCTGGTAAACCAATGTACAGTACCGGGCCCATTTTGACCACAATCCCTTAAATTTGATCTGAATGCACTTTTATTTCAAATGTAAGTAAATAAATAATGTACAATACACAGTCTAATATTGCATCTGGTTGTAATGACTCCCTGTTCAGGGCTTTTTTACCTTGGACAAATAATTGTCACGGCTGGCTGTGATCCTGTTTCCGCGGTTCCCTTGTGTCTCCTCCCCCTTTGTATGTCTGTGTGTGTCTGTGTGTGTGTGTCTCTGGAGGGCGGGGCTTCCTCAATCAAACACCTGGTGACTACTCACACCTGCAAACTCGTCTTCTCATCTGCCTTACTAAAAAAACCCTGGCTTCAAATCACCTCATCATCAGATTATTCAGTCTACTGACGTGGTAGTTATGATCGGCCACACTTTGTTAGAGTTTATTCCAAATGTGTTTTTTCCACGAGTTCTAACAGATTTTCTCTCTTGTTGTCCAGATTTTTGCCGGTGTCATTAAACTCATTCTCTGTCTGCCTACTGAACCAGATAAGCTCCAAAGTCTCCTCCACTCAGTCTTCACCAGCCAGCCAGTCGGCTCTCCACCAATAACAAGCCCTGCAATAAAACCTCAAACCCTTCAATGCTGCCGTGTCTGCTTTTGGGTCTACATACTAACCTTAACAGTAATACTCATTATTTGTCTGCTGTTGATTTTGTGCTATAGTGCCCAAATATATTGTCAGAACATGAAATGCAATAGAGAATTGAAATAGAGTTTTTAAACATTCATGAACTTCATCAGGAAGATTGTTTCATTCATTCAGTAAGTCATTCATATTGCTCCCTTTCTATGGCTCATACCTCTTAAGTTTCGTCTATGCTCCCGCATTGCGTCTTTTCCTTAAGTCTAAGTCCCTCCCACATGAGATGCATAGATAAAGGAATTGAAGATAGAGAAGAATCAAGGAAACTAGTTTAAAGTGATGTGACAGTCTCCTCCAGCAGCACTAAAAGCACAGGGACAGCACTTCTGATGGCAGGTCCAGGACTACTTCTGGTTCAAGCAAAGATCAAGGAAAGTCAAGAGACACAGGATGCAGCCACACATATCTCTGTCTCTCTTTCTTTCTCTTCTTGCAGCCAAGGTGATAAACTGTTTCTGGGCATTTATTTTATTTCGTACCAACAACCAAGTTTTAGCTCTTGTCAACCAATCATCCTGCTGCTGTCGGCTATCCTTTTCTTCTCATTCGACATGTGGGCAAGGAACCACAGGTCGGATTAGAACCCTGCAGGCCACCCGCTCTCAAGGATTTAGGCCTCTTTGCATGGGCCTACCAGCGCAACACTCCTCCACACCATTTACCTCCAATCTAAATCATCAGAAAGCCTTCCCCTTTGATTACTTACTGCATCATGTTTGGGTCTAATCCCCTTAGAAGAACACATTTCAAATCTTTCTCTAGCCGAGAAAAAACAATTGTTAGTCTAGAGAGATGACTGAGATCATAGTCTTCTGAACTGAAAATAATAAAACATTACATTCTTAATACAAGCTGACTAAGACCAACAAAGCACAAGCTTGGTGACCTAAAGGGCACCACACAGTCACATAAATCACCCACACACACACACACACACACACACACACACACACACACACACACACACACACACACACACACAGTCATTAACGCAGACTCCCACAGGCCTTCATTAATTAAAAGGTAGATTGTATGTTTAGTATGTTGAGAATGTTGAGAAAGGACAAAGAGAAAAAAATCCAATATATATCTTCCTGTCACCTCTGTATGACTCCTATGTGAGTGAGTGTGTGTGTGTGTGTGTGTGTGTGTGTGTGTGTGTGTGTGTGTGTGTGTGTGTGTGTGTGTGTGTGTGGTGGGTGGTGTGTGTGTGTGTGTGTGTGTGTGTGTGTGTGTGTGTGTGGGTGTGTGTGTGTGTGTGTGTTTTAAGGATGTCACTTTTGTTGCCTTATAGTACTGAGAAGGAAATCCCAAAGTATGAAAATACTGATGCATCTGTCCTACAAAAGCATTCAAGGCTATCAGCAGTTGGATACATTATAGTTATTTTAAAGCAAACCAGAAGTTCTTTTGTTTACTTTTCCACAACAAAGTTAATAATACATTTGTCAGATTAAAAAAATATTTAGAGAATATTCACGCATGTACATAACAGGAACAAAAAACAGATCGGACATGACGATCTGCCAACAGGGGCTGTCAAAGTTGACAAAAAATGAAAGCTCTCACAAACTTTTAAATGAAATTATTTACAAATATTTAGAGATTTAAATTTATGGAATTGTATTTAAATGTAAAAACTTTATTTTGTGTAATTTCTACATGTGTGAAACATTTCACATGGACTTTATTCATACACTTTACTATCATAAAACAGCAGTGCTTGGTCGTTGTTATGCTGTTATGAATAATTTATTTTATTTTTTATTCAACCTTTATTTAACCAGGAAAGAAAACTCATTGAGATTAAAAATCTCTTTTTCAAGAGTGTCCTGGCCAAGACAGGCAGCAGCACAATAACAGAGTTTCACACGGACAACAAGCAGCCAATCATACAAATACAAAAATACATTAGACATTAAAAGACACAAATAACAAATCCGAACAGCAAAATGTTTGTCAAAAATCATCCACAAAAACATCAGGAAGAACATCTACTGCCAGATGTGTCCTCCTACAAGTTATATAAGTTCCTCTTAAAAGCGTCCAATGAGAGAAGTTTGTTAAGTTTCAGCTCTTTTTGTAATTCTTACCAAGTAAAGGGAACAGAAAACTTAAAGGACCTTTCCCCCAGTTCAGTTCTGACTGAAACAGTAAGAAAAGGTCCTGAGATCATTATAAATCCCTGTATTCTTCTGACTGATGAAGGTCAGAAGGTATGAAGGGAGCAGACCTAAAATAGACTGGTAAATTAAAATAGGCCAATGTTTAAGTCTACGTAGGGTCAGAGAAGTCCATCCAACACGTTCATACAACAAACAGTGATGAGTGATGATACACAGTGTCCAGAGCGTGTATAAAACATCACCGTAATCCAACACAGACATCAAAGTGTCAGCAACCAGCCTCTTCTTAGACTCAAAAGAGAGGCAGGATGTGATTCTAAAGTAGAATCCCAGTTTCAGCTTTAACCTTTTAATGAACTTGTAAAATTAAAAGATGATTCTTTTAAATGTGTGAGTATAGTTTTTTAATATATGAACATATTGGAACAAAAAAATAATTATATCATTAGGAGGCTTCTCAACATGCATATGATAACATAGTTATTCATATTTATCTGCTTGGTAACCACTTACAGATTCAAAATGTGACATGAAAAACATTTGGGATTAGAATAAAACACAAGGCCAAGGTTTTTTCAAAATATGGATTAGGTTTAAAGTAATTCATGTATTGATTGTGTAATTATTAGTGACTAGTCTGTGTGCTTAAATGATTATAATTATAATAGCAGATAAGAATTAAAGTGTGAACAATTGAAATCTACATAATTTAATTTCAACTTCACAGAATAAAATGTTGATTCAGATCATCTTTTTTGTCTTCAACATCCTCTCTATCATGCAATGTATAGGTCAATTTAAAGTTTTAACAATTACATTTAAAATGCATTGGAAGACACAAACTAATGAAGTTTTAATTACAGATAAGAAAGTGATAGCAACAGTGGCTAGAGTAATGCTGCAGCTCACTGGGATCCTAATAAACTAAACTTAAATCAACCTTAAGGGGCCATACTGGACCGTATTGCAATGTGTTTAACAAAGGGAAACAATTTTCAAGTAAGGCTTTTAGAATTGATGTTTTTCTCTGAATGAATGTTTCCTTTTGTCATTATAAAGGGTTTGACATCAGGACTGTGGACTGGAAGTAGAAGAGTTTTGAAAGTGACATTCTGGCATTAGATATTTTACATTTATATCAACAAATTACTTTTCAACATAGCACTGCAAAATGTAAATTTCAAAAGCAAGTACAAAATAAATGAATAAAATAAATGCATGAAGATTTTTAAAGTGTGTAGTACACAATTATATTTAGAAATAAATAAACGATGGAAACCCCAGGAAACCTAAAAAACAAAACTAATATGTCAAAGTGACTAGAGTCAAAACATGTTTATGATATGACTTCCTGTGATTGTTTAGACTAATTATTTGCCCTTGTTTGGTGTGATCTTTTGAACTTCGCCATGCATTTACACACACAGCAAAATGATTGAAACTCTAATTCATAATTATGTAAAGTCATTCCAGGGAATTACAGTGTTTTTATATGTAGTATTTAAAGACAAATATTTCTGTGAATTAAATACACTTAAAACCCTGTCTCAGAGTTAAGCCATAAGGCTCAGTGGACCAAATTTGTGAATAAATTTAAACCTTTCAATTTTATTTATTTCCATTAAAAGAAAAGTTTTTTTCCTGACATTTCTGACAGATTATTAAACTTTCAGAAAAGGAGGATATGAAGAGCTGATTGCAGATATTATATTAGAGAGATTTGAGTGGTGTGCTATAAAGACACTGGGACAATTGATTATGATACTTTGTGATTGACCTGCAATGACATCTATAGTGAAATAAAATCCCAAATACACAATGTCACCCACTTGTCTTGCCCCTCTAGTCCTACCTGTCTGGTTGCGGACTGCTTGCTGTGTGTCCATGCAGTTGGTCAGGTGCGGTGGGTTGCTGAACATCCTGCTGGGTGGCTGGTGGTGGTGGTGGTGGTGTGGGGCAGCCACAGATGGGGGTTGAGTGGGTGGTGGCGGAGGTAGTTGCGCCCCAAATGTTCCATACCTACATGCCCCAGTCCCTGTGAACTGCCCAGAGAAATGGACAGTGAAGGCGCTGAGGCCGCAGTGAGGGTCAGCGTCATGGTGGTGGGGGTCAGTGTTAGCACCCCAGGTGGGCTCCTGCTTGATGAAGGAGTGTTGTCCTAGGGAGGTGTGGGTGGCTGCAAGGGGAGGATAAGGAGATCCAGCGGTATGGAAATCCAGGACAGGAGCCCATTGAGGGGCTGAGCTGACGGGCAGGGCAGGGCAGCTGGGGCTATGGCCCGTAGGAAGCGGGGGCAGCAGAGAGTTTAGGTCACGTACATCTGAACCCATTTTGTCGGCGGGAGAAAAACTAGGACCAGTTAGGCTCTGTGTAAATAATTCTCCCTATAGCTTTCTGACTGACCCAAAACCAAAGCAGCCAACAATTGGATGCTTCAGTATCTGAAAAGTCTTTGTAAGAAAGTTCCACCTTTTTCAAAGTTCTCTCTGGTTTGATTCTTGTCCATCAGTTGTGCACAACACAACAAAGCTGCTCTGGAATGTCCAACAGAAGGTCATGAAACAGAGGAAATGTTTCCCTGCAGCAGAGCAAGAGTAAGAAATAAAGAAAAAGTGAAATGTTGTTCAGCAGTGCCTTTACCGTTTCCATCAACAAGAGTCCATGCAAGAACAGAGGGGCATCCGCTTAGTGCTTTCTCAGTAAATGGAGAGAAAGGAGTGGAGGACTGAGGAGGAGTAGCCCTCTTTTCTCTTCAAGCTGTGTGTGTGTTTTTGTGTATATTTACACACGTGCAAAGAGGTAGGAGGCGGAGTCAGGAGGTGATGAGGTAAGGAGCCTTCCCTCTGCCGTCATTCATTCATTCACTGTAGGCCTTTGCTGAAAAATAAACACACAGAGACACAAAAAGATTTGAAGGAAAAACTTACCAATTCTAAAGCCCATCCGACAAAAAAAGTTCCTTGTAATACAGAAATGTTGATGATATGGGAAAAAAACAAAACATTACCTTGAATGTTTCTGTCAGATGACTGAAAACAATATCCTATGAACTACCGTGGTTTTAAAACATTTTTTTTTACTTTAAATTTAGGCCTATTCATTCTTTATCCGTCTTTCCGACAGAAACTAATGACATATGAGGCCAGGTGTTTTATTTGTTTTAAAGCCTACACGGCCGTTTTCACACGATTTCTGCATTTCATTTCATGTAAGCCTAATGTTTAACAACGTGACCACGAGATTAGAGAGCACAGTATTTTCTTGATCCGTTTTGATATGGATAAGCGTTTGAATTTTCGGGAGCAGACGGATCTCTCTCACACACCCTTTTCCGTTTTTGCTATTTTTTTTATTTCAGCTCTAATCGTTATGATAACTCAATTTAAGTAACTATTAGAGGTAGTGAATTTGTACACTTGGGCGATTTACAAGAGACAACGGATCATCCGTATAGCACACATTTAGGTTACACAGGATTTAGGCTACCTGAAATAAACCGAAGAACATCTTATTAAATCCATAGTAAAAAAAAAAAAGATAAGTTTTATACTGAACAAAATTAAATCAGAGCAAATGTAAGTTTAGTGGCTAATACTGAAGGATTTTTTTGGGCCAGGTTGCTCCAACATTAGGGCACAATACAAAAAGAGTAACACAAAAAGGCCATGAAAAAGGCCTATAGGTGAAATAAAAACATAAAGCATATTGGGTTGAATAATAATGATAATTATTATTATTAGGGTACAGTGGCCTAATGAGCGCAATCAGAGGTGTGGACTCGAGTCACAGATTTGATGATTTTGGACTGGACTTGACAAAATCATGAAAGACTTGCAACTCGACTTGGACTTTAACGCCATGATGATTTGTGACTTCACTTGGACTTGAGCCTAATGACTCGAAAATACTTGAGGTTTTAATGTGTTATTTTAGGTCCCATATATAATGTCTGCGATGCGGAATCACGGAGTTTTACAATGAAAATATAATCAACTGTGCACAAAATATCGTGCGGATTTGTCTCAACGTGGGTGTTAAAAATACCAGTTGTTTTTATAAACATGTGATGAGATATACGCGCGTCTGGTGTCGCCTACCTGCAGCCTCGCGCTGCTGCTCCTCTTCTGTCTGCATGTTGCAGGCGCGAGCCGACGCGCGCGCGTACACACACACACACACACACACACACACACCTATTTACTTTTAGTGCAACAGTCCGTGATCTGTATGGACCTTAATGTTTACGGTCTATGGTATAATGGACCAAGTCTTTATGTTCGGGAATGTAAGTAATCCGGTCAAACGCATACTGCATTTATCAACAATCAGAACCTTAAAAATAGTAGGCTGTTATCTCACAGCCTAATGTAATCTGGGAACATCAGCACACACACTGTTAAAAAGGGGGAGCAAGGGTGGCATGGGTACTGCTACCTTTAAAAAAATAAAGGCAAGCAAATGTATACTTTACAATTTCTCTATTTCCATGACCTGATCTAATAAAACTAACAAATCAGCGATCTGATCCAATGGAACACATTGCTAAACGCAGAATTCAGAAAAATAAAAATGAAAAAAAACAGAATTTAGGTGGATAAACAAAACAGAGTCAGTCACAGTGGTACTGTTATTTTATTTTAAGAAGTAGGCTAAATAAAATCATATAAGCAATCATGAGTTGTGTAACTGTAACAAATTATTACTCTGTTAAAATGGCATTTCATTTGGTGAAGAGAGCTAAAACTTAAGACTCTAAATTCAAAGGTTAGGACTGTTGAGACGATTCGAGACTTGCCTGTCATCACTTGGGACTTGACTCAGGACTCGGGACTTGAGAACAAAGACTTAAGACTTACTTGTGATTTGCAAAACAATGACTTTGTCCCACTACTGAGCACAATTGAAGTGGGGATAGGCTAACAGTGAGGGTCCCCTGTCTCTGGCACCCTGATGTCAGGGGTCATGATCCAGTCATGATCCAGCACTGATTCAGTATGCCGCGGCCACGTTCTTTAATGTAGAATCTTGGTTTCGCACAACTTTGGATCCTCAACAGGTCTAGAACACGCTGACACTGAGTTGGCGATGATTGGATGAACGGGGCCTAGGGGAAGTACGTTCAAATAGGTGGCCTCTGAAACGCGAGATTGGGGCCATTTTGTAGAAATCCAAAAAGGATGGTGGACTTCCTGTTGGGTTTTGACAATGGGTGCATGACAATTTATATGTAGGTCCTGACATGGTTAATATACATACAAATTGTCATGCATGTAAGTGTAAAAGTTCACAGGGGGCGTGGCCAGACATCAAAGTTTGACGGTACGCAACCGCCATGCCCTTTTATGTAGGATCGTGGGGAGAACAACGGGAGATCTTCAAAGTGTCTGGAAAAAACTGACACTGAGTTTGCGATGATCGGATGAACGCCCTTGGGCAAGTTCTTTCAAATAGTTAACCTGTGAAATGCGAATTTGAGCCATTTAAATTAAAAAATGACGGCAGACTTCCTGTTGGGTTCTGATAATGGGTGCAATAAGATTTTATGTAGGTCCTGACATGGTTGATATACATAAAAATTGTCATGCATGTAGGTGAAAAAAACTTTGACTTCCTTTTTGAAAATTTCTAGGTGGTGCCACTGAGCCATTTAGTAAGGCCACTTACTATACCCACATGAAAAGGTTAACTTTCCCACAGGGATAATGTGTATGAAGTTTCGTGTGTATACGACCATGTTAAGCCCCTCAAATAACTACTTCCTGTTTGATGGAATAGCTTGTGCTAAGAAGCAAATACTTCCTGTTTTCAACATGTGTTCAAGCATGGACCATTATCTTGCATGACAAATCTGGTGATGATAGAACACTGCATACCAGAGTTATAACAATTTATTTTTCAAAATGTTTGATGGCAAAGGTCCACTCCAATCTTGAGGAAGATAAGACCAACTGTGTAGGAACAGCTAGTGCTAAGTCAGAAGCAGTGACTTTCTGTTGTCAACAGGTGGCCCTGTGACAAAAACATTTTTTAAAACATGGATGTGTTCAGGGCCTGCCCGTGCCTTGCATGAAAAATTTGGTGATGATAGAACACTGCATGTCAGAGTAACAACAATTTATTTCATTGGCGGCGAACAAAAGAAAAATGACATCAAACTTTGAGAGCCCGCCACGCCCAAAGGTGAAACCTCGTGGTTCACACATCTTTGAATCTTGAACTTGTCTACTTTCATATGATACCAAACTTTAATTTGATCAGATGAACACTCTCGGGCAAGTGCGTTCAAATAGGAGCGGTATGAAATCTCAAAAATTGCTAAATTTGGCCCTAATCACGCACGCACGCACGCACGCACGCACGCACACACACACACACACACACACACACTCCCGCAGACTGTCTGTGATAGAACAAAGAGAAACCGACACAAAATTTCAGAGGTGCACAAAACACAAATGTGGTCACTTTAGTACTCACAGACATATAGATGGTTCATGTCTGCACACGAAAAGGCTTTTAAACACAAAGGTTTATGTCTTTTGTTTTGCTAATGAATTTGGACTGACTCTTTGTGATAAGCCTTGTAATCGCTGTCAGACTGAGAAAAAGGCCAACAGTAAAAAGGACAGCCACAGGGACATCTTGAGGTCAGTCTGCTGCTCTTTTTTTCCTGTTCTTATTTCTGCCTTTTCTCTATCTCTCCTCAGGAACACATAAACAAAGATACTAATAAAAGAAGGACAATCCCACATGCATCCACTCTATATTGGCACGGCTGCCTTCTGCTCCTGTGGAGCACTCAGGAATTTGAGCATGATTAATCTAGTTTTAAGAGTGATGGCTTCTACGGCAAATGGAACACATTCCGTAACATCAAACAATAAATCACTTCAAATGTGGGCTGGACCACATTAGCGTCTGTGATTTATTTTTTTTTTACAAAAATGGGAGGACTACATTTTCTTTTTTTCCACTTTGTTAAACTAATTCCACACATGGCTGTGGTTCAGACAGAGCAAGTCATCTTACATTCTGTAGATGGGTACTTGACATCCCTGGATACCCTGCATGTTCAGTGTCCTTGGGCGAGACACTAAATGCATAATTGATGAATAAATATCTGATATTAAGTCTAAACTGTTTTTGTGTGCTTACATGCACTATCTTTATGGTGTCTCTCGTGTGTGTGTGTGTTAATGTCAACTATTCCGTTTTATCTGTCTGTGTGTGAAGAATTAAAGAATTTTAAACATAAAAATTACATTTTTGGGTCTTGTTATACCGTTACAAAAAGGCATACTTGTCACAATGACTTTGAATCCCAACTGAT